CGCCCCCCGTCCCCCCTCCTCCCTTCCACAACCCTCTCGCCTAGCGTCTCTACAGTCGCACGACAGCAAACGCCCTTGTTCGGTGTGCCAGCTTTTATGAGTTTAAACTTCCAAAGACAGTTCAAAATATGTTTTAAGTTTTGGGGGGCTGTAAAAAGGGTTTCAACATTTTAATGTTTTTAGTTTGTTTATCTGCTTCAAATTTGTCCGTTTCCGATTCCACCTAGCAGTATACTTTACGAACTTTGCGTCATCTTTGGGTCCACTCTAAGCAATCCCCTGCCTGGGTGATTTCCTTCTCACTTGCAGACAAATCTTCATAACGTCTGTGCAGAAAGCTAAATTCTGAGTGTTTTTTTTTGCTGCAGATAAACTTAAACAGAACGTAAAAAAGGGTCGTTAAAAATTCATTATGCATAACATGTCAAAACAGCAAGCCGAACTACTATTTGCGATGTTTTAGGTGTGGGTTCCCATTCGGGTCCCTTAACCCACCCCCATTCCTTTCCCTTACTCCACCAGGCCAGAGCCGCTGGCCCTTACACCCAAAGACACATGTGTTGTTCATGCATATTAAGCAGCGCGCCCCTTGTAGTGAGCTTACGTATATATATCTCTATATGTACAAAACAATTGTAAGGGGGCCGCGTGATTCATTGACTGGGATTAGAGGGATCTTGCGTGCGTGCGTGGTGCACGGTGTGGGAGAGACAGAGAGACAGAGAGACAGAGAGAGAGAGAGGGAGAGAGAGAGAGAGAGAGAATTTTGCGTCGCCCCCTAACCTTGCCGTCCTACCTCTAGCTGCAGTGAGGCCGCCACCAGACGGTTTGCTTGCGCGGTCCAGCGTGGCGAGGTGTGGTCTGCCGGGGTGGGCGGAGGGGTGGGACTGGATGGGGTGGGCGGGTGAGGTGTTGTACTTCGTACTGTAGTTTCGAGGAGGCTGAGAGAGAGAGGGAGAGGGGTGGAGAGAGAGGCAAGGGGAAGGGGGAGTGGCCACCGCAAGAGTTGAAGGGGGACCGCGAGGGGGTTGGAACTACTATATAGGAGGGTCTGGCTAAGCTATGGATAACGGGGGAGGCCAGCAGAGCCCGGCCAGGGGTCTGTCGCGCCCTCCAACGAAAAGAGAAAAAGAGAGGGAAGGGGGGGGGCGAAAGGGGGAGTTTCCCATATCCTTAGAGTTGTCGCTAGAAAAATGAAACCCTTATGCCAGTTTCTACTCTAAAAACGCACTGCAGGTAGACTTGTTTTTTGTTTTTTTTTTGAGGTGCACAGAGTCAGGACGCGTATACGGTTCCTTCATATCCAAGGACCATCGGAAGGATTAAACGATGAGGTAGGAAAAATTACATGGGGCGTCCCTGAATATCATCCTGATGCATGGTCCTTGGACACTAAGGAACAATTTTCACCGTGTCTCTAAACAAAACGAGAATATGTGCCCGAATAAGAGATTGGAAGGAAACATCATATCCACGAGACACGACGATGATGACGTGGAAGTCATCGTGTGCTGCGTGCGCTGTGCCAGGCCACGCCGGCGGCCGGCTCTGGTTGCATGCAATTTGTCGTGGGGCGTGGCGGGGCGTGGCGAGGATCAGCGTGCACGTGCATTCTGCTCTCAATTAGCAGTCAAAGGAGAGAGCACTTTTGTCAGAGAGAGAGAGAGAGAGAGAGAGAGAGAGAGA